ATCAGCATATGCTTTAGATTTATATTTATGTCTGACAATTTTTCTAAAAGTTATGTGGAAATTTGAGCTATGAACTTGTTATTGTTCTGAATCTGCCTTTCAAAACGCTCTGCTGGATTTGTATTTAAATTGAAATTACATCCTTGATTTAAAAAATGTTTTATTTTTGGACATAGATATTATAATCTGATCATGGAAAATTACCTTTATCTGCGGGGATAATTTCCATCTTTTTGAAACAGTTTTAATACTTTTAGTTCTATTAAATTTATGTTTTGTTTTCTTTTGAAAAGTGTTTTTAATTATTTTTGATCTTATACGAGATTCTTACTCTTGTTTGGAAGAGTTAGAACGTTTTTGGAGTAATTGGAAATTGAAACCTTTAGAAATATCAAGTTTTTTGACATCAGTTTATTGCTATTTAGGTAAGCAATTATAAACCGTTCTTCCTCGTATCGAACAATATTTTTTATTCGAATAAAGGACATAACACGAATAATCAGTTATAATAAATAAAAATAGCCAAAAATAAAAGCCGTCAACTTCATATTTAAAATTTGATATCAATACCACTTTTGAAATTGTAACTATAAATAACAATGAGTGTTGAAAATTCAAGTGCTGCTTTCATATTTGCTGCATATTTTGCATAAAATTTGCGATCTTAAAAAAACTCGTGTTTTGCTTGTGGCAACATCGGCGAATGCAGCAAAATAGGCCAAAACCACTTTGAGACTGAACTTGTAACAAAGTTATAATTTACAAATTGTAAGTAAACTTTAAATTATGATCAGCAGTTCTCTATAAACGATCAGGTGAGAAATTCAAAAAAACTATGTTCAAAGCCCAAAGTTTTATGTATTTAAGTGTACAGACGAAACTGCAAGATTATTTAAATAAAAATAAAAAACAAAGAATTTTGTAGATCACATATGTGACTACATTAAATTGATAATTGCTACAACAAAAAAACTGAAAATTAAAGAAAATGCATTTTGTTAAATTTAGATAACTGTGTTGCCTCATTTTCATTTAATTTAAGCCATAACTTACGCGAAAATCTAGTAGAGTAATGAAAGTCAGTCACGAATTAAAATTACACCAAAATCCTTAATTTATTTTAGTTACTTTATCGATTCGTAATAAAAGACGTGAAAAAATGTGATAAAAATGTGGTAAAAATACCCAAGAAAATTTTTTTTAAATGCAAACTGCTGTTATTTAACTCTACTCACTTATTATTAGGGAGATTATTATTTAGGGGGATTATTAAATCCAAATTTATTTAGCGGTTGCTTATGCCCTGCTCGCACAAAACAATCGATTATTAAAAAGAAAACGTCTAGGTAACTGTTCTTTTAATATTAGGGAGTTTTTGGGCCCCTTAATTGCAACAGGTTTTACGTTATTCGTTATTCTGACCATGCGCAATAGTAAAGAAATAACCGTTCACGTTATTAGAGGATAACGTGTTCGTTTATTTACGTACGAGTAGCAGTAACGTTAATAAGCATCACGTTAAAAAGCAGAACGACGGTGTTGACATATTTGACTCATTTCTAATATTATTAATAAAATAAGCGGCTATAATAGAATAAGAAATCTACTGTAAATTAGAATGAGACTTTATCATTGATTAATTTACGCCATGATTGCGTAATTACGGATTTTATGTGAACATTTTTTGGGAAAATTTCAACTCTCGCAACACTACTAACATCGCACGGACAGGTTCTAACTTCTAGCCCATAACCTAACTATTTGGTTTTGAATTTTTATTTAATATGTTCGGAATATGTTCTTTCTGAAACCTAAAATTGATAAGGCAATCTCTGAGCTCAATATTTTCTAAATTTAAAGTCGCTTTCGATTTGCAAGAATAGGTGGGCCAAAGATGTCGTGTAAAATTAGGCCTCTTATTAAATCGTGGTCCACATCTCTCTGGTCATTCGGTGCAGAAAGGCAGCTACAATGTTTTTCTCCATCTTAGCCACATTTTGTTTAATAACAATACAAATTTAAACTAGCTTTGAAACTTTTCCAAACAAAACGGGATAAGAAAACAATAAAGTGAGGTTTATTTTATTAAGAGTGTAACAAACGCGGTATCAAAAACTAAAAAACGCACTTAAAGTTATTTGCATGAATCCCTTATTTTTTAACACTGCGCATGATCACAATAACATTTAGCGTTTAAGGCCAACGTAACTTTAAGGGGCCTAAAAGCTCTCTAATCCTTTTAATATTAACTCTATCTGTAAACCTGCTTCAAAATATCCGTCAACAAAACCGAATGCTCCGTCAGATTCAGCACGAATTTAATTAAAATTGTAATCCTTCTCACTTTTATGAAAAGCCATAATTATATTATAAAGTGTGTTCGTAAAGAAACATCCTCTTTGTTGGTCAGGCTATTATTTAAGCAAAAAAAACCAGTTTTTTAATTTAACAACACAAAAACACTGATTCACTGATCCAAGAGGATGTAATTTAGGATGCGAACTATATGCAAATGTTTGAAAGAAAAACAGGTTTGTTAATTATCTAATTAAACAGTTGGTTTGGAAGTTACGTAATACGTCTTTCGGTGAATATGCGTAATTTGTTGCTTTAATTGCATTGTCAGAAGCAACTGCTCGACTGAAAATTCTTTCGGGTTTAAAATTAAACGGTCGTCATTCGGAAGGTTTGTTAACTTTTCGGATTAAAAAGCAAATGCACTGGAAGTGCTTAATATGTTTCTCTTATAATTCCATTAATTTACGCTATTGGATTTGTTGTTATTTTTAATTCTTGTTAAAAAACAGATTCAATTACACAAAAAAAATACTCAAAACGCATCCATTTCTAGTAAATTAGGTTGGTATCAAGTCAATCAAACTCTAGTTTAAACAAACCCTCCTTCCTTTCATTCTAATCCGATTAGCACTGAATGCATGGAACATGTGGCAAATTATTGCACGTTTGCAAATAAAAATTTTCATTGTTACTATTCGAAATGTGTCCTCAAAGCGCGTCTCGTATTGGAACATAATTAGAGTCATATTAGAAAGTTTGCGTAACGAAGTGTAATAACGATCCTTAAAATGTGAATCTCGCTTAGGTAACCGTAAAGGCAGGGCATTTTAATTCGAAATATATGTGAATGGTAAATGTTTAATGAAAAATTTATTAACGTTATTTCTGGTTCTCTAGACGGAAATAAATTTAGATTTACGAGATGCCATTAGCAGATAGTTGGATACGGAATCGCTTCGATTGGATGTAAAAAAATCCGTGTCAATAAATGGTTGCCTTGTAATATATTCACTAAAGAAAGTTTATACATCGTTAGGGAGTTTTTGGCCCCTTAATTGCCACATGGTTTACGTTATCCGTCATTCTGAGTATGCGCATTAGTAAAGAAATAACCACTTACGTTATTAGAGGATGACGTGTTCCTTTATTATATTGAACGTACGAGCAGCGGTAACGTTAAACAAGCATCACTTTAAAAAGCAGAACAACGGTGTTGACATATTTGATTTATTTCTAATATGATTAATAAAATACGCGGCTATAATAAAATAATAAATGTATTGTAAACTTAAATAAGACATTTTTATTGATTAATTTACGCCATTATTGCGTAATTACGGATTTAATGTGAAAATTGTTTGGGCGAATTTGAACTTTGACAACAGTACTAACATCGCACGGACAGGTTCTAACTTCTAACACATAACCTAACTATTTGATTTTTAATTTTTATTTAATATGTTCGGAATATGTTTCTTCTGAAATGTAAAATTGATAAGGCAATAAAAATAAATTATTAAAAATAGGCGTTCGGTTTGCAACAACAGGTGGGTCAAAGATGTCGTGTAAAATTAAGCGTCTTATTAAATTGTGAATCACACCTTCCTGGTTATTTCGGTGGAGAAAGGCAGTTTCAATGTTTTCTTCCATCTTAGCCACTTAAACAGCTTTCAAACTTTTCCAAACAAAACGGGACAAGAAAAGATAAAGTGAAGTTAATTTTATTCAGAGTGCAACAAACGCGGTATCAAAAACTAAAAAACGCACTTAACGTTATTTGCCTGAACACCTTATTTTTTAACACTGCGCATGATCGCTATGGCGTTTAGCGTTTAAGGCCAACGTAATTTTAAAGGGCCTAAAAACTCTCTGTTATTAAATGCATGATACGTTAACAGATTTCTAATGGCGCGTCCAGACCTAACCAGCCTAGCCTGAGCCGCGGCGAATTTCTTTGATGTTTCGTCAAAACACCGACGGACGATCCATTTTCTGTCGGTGTTTTGACCAAACTTTAAAGGAAATTACCGCGATTCAGGCTCGGTTTGTCTGGTCTGGATGCACCGTAGTAGTTTAGAAGTATTTGGATTTAACAACACAATAACCAACCATGTTTATATCTGAGAAATAAACATACTCTTGACTAATTGGTAATTGTGCTCATGTTATTTACTGCATAATATTGTTTAAATCTTTAATTGTATGTACAGGGTTTCATTCATAAGTTGACACCCGCCCTAGATCGATTATTTCAAATCAATTGTGAAAGTGACCATCACAAAAATTGTTAAATTTTACTCAATTTTTTTAAGTCTGAATTTAAAATAAACATATTAAACACGGAAGTTTCAAAATTTGGGATAAAGTCTTTTTTTAATGAAATATCCTATATATTATTAGATACACTAATAGGACTTTTTTCCTGATTTGCAAAATATATATTTTGCCTATATTTTTAGTAGCTGTTTTTTCTGTATTATGTTTTAAACATTTAAAATTGCAACAAACTAAAGTAGCCTGAAATGACACAAATACTATAGAAAGACAACATAACGGAATTAATTGCTACTATAAATGTGGAAACAAATAAATGAAAACAAATTCATTAAAATCACTGACTTTGTATATGACCTCCGCTTAATGCTAGACCTCTATAATCTATTTGAATTTTATCGATAACGTTTTCAATATATTGGTTATGATTAATAGTAATATCGTTAATTGTACCCACTATTTTAAGCCGTCCAACTAGGGTATCATACACAATATTCTTTAAATAAGCCTAGAGAAAAGGATCAAGACGCGTTAGGTCGGGGCTATTTCGAGGCCATTGGATTGAACCCGCTGGTCCAATCCACATATCAACATTTTCATTTAAAAACAGTGCAACCTGGCGAACATTATGAGGTGACGAAAGTGCATTGTCGGATTTCAAGGCTATTTCGATTTGTTGCTATTTTAATTTTTGTAAAAATGTAATATAGGAAAAACGGCTAATACAAATATAGGCAAAATATGTATTTTTGAAATCAGAAAAAAAAGTCATATTTGTATGTCTAAAAATATATAAGGTATTTCATTAAAAAAAAAAACTTTAAATGTTGACATTTCAGTGTTTTATATTTTTATTTCAAATTCTTTTTAAACTTTCGCCTTGGTCAATTTCACAATTTTTTGCAATAGACGAATGTTTGATATTAAAAAAGTTCTCTTGTACAATTTTTTGATGAAAAGTCAAAGCGGCAATGATGCTTTTTGTCATTAACGATAGTTACAGGTGGATAGCCCTTGTCAATAATAACAATAATTTGTCAAACTGGTGACTTACTTTGACTTTCCTTTCACGAATTTGCGGATATGTGATTAGTTCAGGGGAAATGTTACAGTAACATAGCAGAAGCTGAAAGAACTCACGCCAACAAASGGCGAGGAGAGTGGTTTCAGAAAGATAGTGGAAGACAATAGGTGTT